GAGCAGGTTAAGTGAGGGATCCTATCCTTTCACTTTTGTGGGCTTACAGAAGTACAGTGATACAGATGCACAGCATGGAAACAGACCCTTGAGTCCAACTCATCCAGAGGCCAGCTATCCGAAATTAATCTCACCCCATTTGCCAGCAGTTGGCCCATATCCCTCTAAATCCTTCGGATTCATGAAGACCATTCAGTTTATCTCCCTTTTCATGACATCCAGTTAAACGCTGAGCGCTCCCTAATGTTTTATGAGAAGTGGCAGATTTCTGACAAGACAATGGCCATATGGCAGGAGAAACTCCAAGAATATTCTCCACCTTTTATTCTAATACCCAGCCTAGCCTTTGGGGGTCCAGGGGAGGTGGACAGTCAGCTTGATCGTCTGTTACTATGGAAACAAGGTGACAGTCCTTTGGTTGGCTTGCAGATTGGAAACGGTGGAAATTCACACGTGCTCAGTCAGATGCTGATGTAGCCACCTCCACCTTCAGTGAAGTAAGTGTCAAGGGATGGGGGGGGGGGGGGGGGGGAGGAGTTTTCCGGAAAGGTCTGAATGGAAGAGGAATGCCCAGTATCACTGACCCTCATAGCTATGCAATTCACTGTGTTGGACATGCCTGGTGATGTTAAAACAAGGCTCGATGGAAATGGCTATAGTTCCGAAGTAGCCCCAGTGTCAAAGCTTCCGCACAAATAATGGGGTGAGGTACAGCAGCCCAACTTGGCAGTGTAAGGAAAGGGAGGGCAGAACGTGCATCAGAAATAAAGGAATCCCACATCTACACGGTCTGAACCGCGGTCATATTCATGCTTGTAAGCCCCTCCCAAATGTTGTGTTATGTCTTGCACTCAGTATATCTTCCTTAAGAACCAAGAGCAGGAGTAACCAATTCAGCTCCTCAACCCTACAACATCATTCAACAAAATCAGTTTGATCTCACCTTGGCCTCAACTCCAATTTCCATAATGCTTCAACCCATTACTAATTAAAAATCTGACTATCTCCTTAAATTTATTCAGCGTGCTGACAAACTGATGAACACTGCTCTCTGGGGTAAGGATTTCCACAGACTCACGATCCTTTGAGAGAGCTAATTCTTCCTCATCTCTGTTTTAAGTCTGCCAACGCTTAGCCCTTAAAACTATGACCTCTCATTCTAGATTGCTCCCACATGAGGAAGCATCCTTTTTATGTCTATTTTGTCAATCCTCTTTAACATCTTACATACTTCAATTAGATCTCCTCTCATTCTGAAGAAAGGTCCCGACCTGAAACATCAGCTTTCCTGCTCCTCTGATGCTGCCTGGCCTGCTGTGCTCATCCAGTTCCACACTGTGTTATCTCTTGTTATGCTATTAAAAATGTATTACTCTGTGTAACTTAAAAGTTTAATTAGCCCAGACACTGATATGCCTGTGAATGTAATGTCAATATAATAGTCAATTGCATTATATGTCTGTTGGATATTTCAATACCATGTCAGCCAGGCCCAGTTTCTTATGTCACAAGGGATAACACAAACATTGCCACATCAGCTAAAGACACTCTGCTGGGGATTAAACTCATATCACCGGGTGTCTGTTATCAATATATAAACCACCTGAACACCTTGGTTGGATTCTAGTCAGTATCTAACTCTCGGATATCTGTTATTTGATATAAACCACTTGAACCCTTCAACTAGATTCCAGTCTGTAACTCACTCCCGGGGATCTGTTATTCATATGTAACCCACCCCAAACCCTTCAATTAGATTCCAGTCTGTAATTCACTCCTGGCTATCTGTTATTCTATGATATAAACCACACCGAACCCCTCGAGTAAATTCCAGTCTGTAACTCACTCCTGGGTATCTCTTACTTATATATGCCACGCAAAACCCTCCACTGGTTCCAGTTCCTAACTCACTCTCAGATATATGTTATTCTATATGTCAACACCCAAACACCTTGATTAAACCCCAGCCTGTACCTTGTTCACTGGTATTTGTTATTCCTTATTTACTTTACTAAACATATAATCTGTTAATACTTATTTCTCCTGTCCCATCAATATATATTAGTCAATATGTAATGATTGGGACATGAGTAATAAGAGCCGTTGTGCTGCAGTGCTTGACTTGGGAACATAAAGTTATAGCATTAATCAAATGTAGTAACTCTGACACTATGGAATTATTTCATAGGTTTGATTCCAGATTAGTCTTCTAGCAGCTGGATGCAGTTATGAAGGAATGGATTAGGTTCATTATTATCTATCACTAAGGGACAGTGACTAAGCCATTACTGATGGTATTTTAATGCACATCCTGGCTGAAGCCCAGGTGATAAAAAGAACTTACATTTATATAGCACCTTTGTTGCCTCAGGATATCTCAAAGCACTTTACAGCTAGTGAGGGGTAGCAACTGTCTTTGTTTGTACACTGGTGAAATTTATTATAAACTCTGACAATGCATTAGAAACAAACTGATACGTACTCAGAACAGAAAGGAGAGAACTTGCATTTACTTTGATAGTGCCTGTCATAACCTGACTGAGTCACAAATTGCTTTCCAGCCAATGTACCGCTTTGGAAGTGGATCCATTCTTGTCATGTAGGAAGTATGGCAGCCAATGTGTGCACTGCAGGATCCCTCAGATGTGACAATGATCTGATAATCTTTTACCCACTGTAGCCTGGGGAATTTAGTCACATTTTTGCAAACTTTCAATGCTGTTCTTTGAAGCTGTGGCTCCTAGGTCCTTAGTTTAACATTCCACCCCAAGGAATCATAGAATCCTCACAGTTTGGAAGCAAGTCATTTGGCCCATTGAGTCCACACCAGCCCTACCCCATCCCTGTAACCCTGTATTTCCCCCGGCTTATCCATTTAGCCTGCACATCTTTGGACTGTGGGAGGAAACTGGAGCACCAGAGGAAACCCACACAGACACAGGGAGAATGTGCAAACTCCACATAGACAGTCACCCGAGGGTGGAATCAAACCTGTGACCCTGGCGCTGTGAGGCAGCAGTGCTAACCACTGAGCCACTGCGCTGCCAGTACCTCAGACAGTGTAGCATGATCGCAGTCCTGCCCTGGGAATGTCAACCCAGATTTCGATGCTTGCAGCCCTTGCATGGGGTTTGAACACGCAATTGTCTGATTCAGAGGCTACCCACAGAGCCACAGATGATAGAGAGCACGAGGCTAGCTTCAGCAGCTGAGAGGCATGCTTAACCTTTCTGACTTGCACGTTCTTTAAGTATTGGTTTGGTTACTTCATTGGTTTCAAAAAACTAAAGCTAATATTGTGACTGCATTCATAAACACTCAGAGAATTATCGCGCAAAGCTTTAACCATCTTAACCATTAATCAATGGACTTTTGAAATGGGTGTGGCACAAAAGACAACTAAATGAAGTTGAAGATAGTAAGAACTGCCGATGCTGAAGTCAGAGATAACACAGTGTGGAGCTGGAGGAACACAGCAGGCCAGGCAGCATCAGAGGAGCAGGAAAACTGACATTTCGGGTCGGGCCCTATTTCTAAAGAAGTCTCCCGACCCGAAACGTTAGCATTCCTGCTCCTCTGCTGCCTGGCCCGCTGTGTTCCTCCAGCTCCACACAGTGTTATAAATGAAGTTGAAATGAAGTTGAGTCATTAGCTTGAAGTAGATGCTGAGGTAATATCTCCCCTAGGCTGGGGAGTCTAGGACATGGAGCTCAGAATAAAGGGTCAGCCCTTTAGGAAGGAGACAAGGGAGATTAAGGGTTTGAGGGCCTGAATGGCCCACTGTTGCTCCTATTTCTTGTGTTTTTTATATCTAACTGAGAGCTCTTCTCCTCTATAGCATTACCAGGGAAGGAGATAGTGGCTCGTGCTGGAAGACCTGGGATCTAGGAGGGTCCCACACCGCAGGATGGGAGGGTTTGTGCAGCATTGGAAGGGGGGATAGGGGGGTCATAGGGTGGTCAATGGAGAATGTGGATTGGCAGTGGGGGCAGGGGGCTGGCTCACCGTCTCCCTCATGCCTCTCCCTGTCGCCTGCCTCAACCAGGCACTGAGCACTTTGACTCCCACCCTCACACCCCCACCTCAGCCACCCAGTGGGACACTCTGGTTAACTTGCCACAGAGACCTGAAGGCATGTGGTGGGCCTGCCCATAAGTGGTCATCAAAGTGGCCTCAATGGGTACGGGGCAGGACGTTTGACCATGGGCCTTCTTGCTGTGGTGTAGCTGGGAAGGTGGCATGGCGAATGTACACCAGCCTCCTGCCTGCCTAAATACCCTGCCTATTTTACAAACACTGCAGGAGGGGGATAAAATTCCCACCAATGGCTTCAGGAATCCCAATATTTAATTGAAGGCCATTTCTGCTCATCTACCAAAGCTGTAGGACTCTCTGTCTACCGGATTACGGATAAGTAGAATTTTAGAGTTATGAGGTTTTGGAATGTGCTGCCTGGGAGAGTAGTGGAGGCGGATTCCAGAGGAGGTTTCAAAAGAGAGCTGGGTGTGTATTTGAAAGGGATGAAGTTAAAGGGCCACGGAGACAGGGCTGGAGAATGGGAGTGGCTGGGTAGCTCTTTCAGGAGCTGGTACAGACACAATGGGTCGAATGGCCTCTTTCTGTCCTGTGAAATTCAATGATTGTAAGCATGAAGATGATATTGCAACAGTGGAGGGAGGTTGGAGATGAGGTCAAGCTGCACTAACTTGGGTTAGGCCCTAACAGTTCACGATGTTACAGAGCGCTGGCAATTGCTTGGAGAGGAAAGCTAGTGTATACCATTTTGCTCAATTTGGATTTTTAAGCAGAGGAACTACCTTAAAGGAAAAAAGAGAGAAAGTGAGATCAAACAACAACTGAATAAATATTTGATGAAGTGAGACAGAGCAAGAGAGAGAGAAAAGCAAGTATTGCCTTGTAAAATATTGAAGATACTTTGGAGAATCTGGGACTTAAGCCAAAAGGAGAGTCTTTAAAAAAAATCAAGCAGCCATGTGTACCTCTGAGGGCCTCAGAATCCAGGGTTTCTCCGAGCTGCTCCAGGAGCTTGGCTCTGGCTGCATTCTTCTTGTGTTTCTTGCCCTCATAATGCTGCTGGGCCATCATTGGGTTGTTGAACCAGGCACTGCAGAGCTGGCAGAACTTCTCTGTGGTGGGTCCTGAGAAGATGAGAGCTGCAGGTTGCAGCACGTCAGGAGGAGACTCTGGGATATAAAATAATAATTACAGGGTAAATATCATATCTACCAACCAAAGAACCACAAAGAATGGATACAGCTGAGAAACAGGTCATTCAGTCTCCTCCCATTTCATCCTCGCCATCTCTGCCTTCCAAAATATCTATTCCCTTTTCTCTCGACTGCAAAGGACTTACATTTATCCAATGCCTTTCACCTCTGTAGTATTTTGCCCAATGACCATGGTGGCATGGACAAGTTGGGCCAAAGGGCCTGTTTCCATGCTGTGGACTTCAATGACTCGATGACCACTCCTGATACCTTATGGTATTTGTCATCTTTACCAGCATGTGGGACTGGGTAAGGGTTGTTTGAGTTAGTTCACTGCTACCAGTCGTCCTTTGTCTGGAGCCAATCTAGTGATTAAGGGTGAAGGACACAGCACCGTACATTGTGAACAGAGGAGGCTCGTAGATTACAAGGAGGCTTATCACATGATAGCAATAAGTACAATTACAACTGGTGAGTCAGAATCTCTAGAACCTTTGGGAGCTGGTCCAGATACATCTGCTCTTTCTGAAAGCTAGAGAAGAATTCCCTGTCTCCACCCACAGGCTGTGTGTGACATCAATGTAACATGAACATTAACCTTCAAGGATGTTCCAAGACATTTCCCAGCCAATGTTTTACAGCCTGAAGTGCAGTCATCGTTGTAATTTCCAAAAGATGTGACAGCCATCGCATGCACAACAAGCTCCCACAAACAGTTACTTCATCTGTTTTTCAGCGCTTGTGAGTTGAGGGATAAATATTGGGCAGGACACCAGGCAGAACCACCTTGAAGAAGTGGTTGTGGGATCTTTTATCCCTGAGGTGAGAGAGGGTATGCATAGTCTTGGTTTAACATCTCAGCTGAAAGCCTGCTGACAGTGAAGCAACGCTGTGTTTATTGATAAAATAAACTGGGAAGGGATGAGGAATCATTCTCTCTTTTTAATGCTATTAATATGGCACTTTAATATTGTTTCATGTGTACATACCTAGCCCTGTATTGTCAGAAGGAAAAACAGAGAGTGCTGGAAAAGCTCAGCAGGTCTGGCAGCATCTATGGAGAGAAATCAGAGTTAACGTTTCGGGTTTGGTGACCCTTCTGCAGAACTGAGTTCTGAGGAAGGGTCACTGGACCCGAAACGTTAACTCTGATTTCTCTTCACAGATGCAGACCTGCTGAGCTTTTCCAGCAACTTCTGCTTTTGTTTCTGATTTATATTATCCGCAGTTCTTTCAGGTTTATTGCGCTGTTGTGTTATTGGATATGAATCTCTGGGCCACTAACCTCCAAAACTGGAGATCTGAGACTAATGTTTCACAATGAAACAGGTAGGAAATTCATGTGACCTGTTCTGCTGCTTCAGGAGCACTGGAGCATAGGAGGATGGGTGTGACCTTATAGAGGTTTATAAAATGATGAGAGGCATAGATAAGGTGAATGGCAGGTGTCTTTTCCCGAGGGTGGGGGATTTCAAGACTAGGGGACATAGGGGGCAACTTTTTTACACACAGGGAGTGGTTCGTTTGTGGAATGAACTTCCAGAGGAAATGGCAGATGCGGGTACAGTTACAATGTTTAAAAGACAGTTAGATAAGTACATGAATAAGAAATGTGTGGAGGGACTTGAGCCAGGAGCAGATAGGTGGGACTAATTTAGTTTGGGATTATGGTCAACATGGACTGGTTGAACCAAAGGGTCTGTTTCCGTGCTGTATGACTCTATGACTCTAATTCCTACTCAGCCAAATGCTGAGATGTAGTTTACCACTGTAACATGAACAGCGAAAATATATGAGGGTATACAGCTGGGGAATAACCATTTCTGAAACTGGGGTGTCTGTTTTACCAGGGAGTGCACCCTCTGCATGCAACTGAGTGAAGAAAAGGCCAACTGCATGGCTCGTTAAGGGCAGTTTTCCCATCAGAATGTGCAAGTGTTGCTGTGCAGTCCATTGAACACAAGAGCACAGAGAGATGACAGAAAATTTGAAAGACTTTGCAGCAAATATTGGGGAATGGGACTAATTAGATTCCTCTTTCAAAGAGATGACACAATTACGATGGCTTGCACCCATGCTCAATCAGGGCCAAAATGTTTCACAACCCCAATCTCTTGCCTTCTCCCTGTAACCCTTGATCCCCTCACTAATTAAGAACCTTTCTATCTCTGTCCCGAATATACTCAAGGACTTGTAGCAATGAGCTCCACAGAATAATCACCGTCTGGCTGAATAAATTCCACGCAGCTCTCTTTTAAAGGGTCATCCCTTCACTTTGAGGCTGTGCCCTCAGGTCCTGGCCTCTCCTATTAGTGGAAACATCTTCTCCATGTCGACTCTGTCCAGGTCTCTCAGTATTCCGTAAGTTTCAAAAACATCTCCACTCATCTATTCTAAACTCCATCGAGTACAGACCAAGAGTCCTCAACCACTGCTCATATGACAAACCCTTCATTCCTGGGATCATTTTTGTAAACCTCCTGAGGACTGTCTCCAAGGGAGCAGATCCTTCCTAAGAGAAAACTGCTCATAATATTCCAAATGTGGTCTGATCAGAGCCTTATACAACTTCAGCAGTACAACGCTGCCCTTGTATTCCAGCATTCTTGAAATGAATGCTAAAATTGCACTTAACCTTAAAAGAATCCTGAACTAGGATTCCCAAGTCCCTTCGTGTTTCAGATTTCCAAAGCCTTTCCCCATTTAGAAAATAGTCTATGCATCTGTTCTTCCTATCAAAGTGCATAAGTTCACACCTTCTCACATGGTATTCCATCTGCCACTTCCTTTCTCACTCTCCTAGCCTATCTAAGGCCGTCTGCAGCCTCCCCTCTTCCTCAACACTACCTGTCCCTCCACTTAACTTTGTGTCATCTGCAAACTTAGTAACAATGCCCTCAGTTCCTTCATCCAATCACTGAAGTAAACAGAGCTGCTGAAAGTTGTTTGAGAGAGATGGTTGGTGATGGTTTAACCTGAAACCTGAGGTGAGGGGAGAAATTAAGAAGGAGAGGTCTTCAACGAACAAAACAGCACAGGAGCAGACCCTTCGGCCCTCCAGACCTGCGCTGTCACATTTTGCCCTTCCAAAGTAAAGCTGTCTTCACTTACAGGATCCATATCCCTCTATTCCCTTCCTTTTCATGTATTCATCCAGGTGCTTCTTGAATGCTGCTATAGTGTCTGCTTCCACCACCTCCTCTGGCAATGCGTTCCAGGTAATCACCACCCTTTGTGTGAAAAACCTGCCTCACACATTTCTTTTAAACACCCCTCTTGCACCTTGAAACGGTGTCCCCTAATAATTGACCCCTCCACCATGGGAAAAAGCCTCATACTTTCCACTCTATCCATGCCATTCACAACCTTCATGGTAAACTCAGTTGGTGTGAGAATTGAGTCCATGCTGTTGGCATCATTGCGTATTACAAGCCAGCCATCTCGCTAACTGAGATATAGTAGACAACAAACCAATTAAAATATTTTCTAATAAAGCAAAACAGAAAGGAATTACATTTCATTTAAGAAGTATTCAGATGAGCACCTGAAATGGTGCAACACACAGGGCTAAGGGGCAAGTGCTGGACAATTGGATCAGAATAGAGATAATGCAGTGTGGAGCTGGAGGAACGCAGGAGGCCAGGCAGCTTCAGAGGAGCAGCAAAGTTGACATTTCGGGTCGGGACCCTTCTTCAGATTTCTGCTCCTCTGATGCTGCCTGGCCTGCTGTGTTCCTCCAGTTCCACACTGTGTCATCTCTGACTCCAGCATTGGCAGTTCTTACTATCTCTGGATCGGAATAGATGTGTGATGGCTGACACAGGCAAGATGGGCTGAAGGGCCTTTAGCCATGCTGTAAAAACTCAATGACACTACACCCGAGTGGATTGGAAATCAGAGATGAAAGACGTTGGAGTTTATTATCTGGTGAATAATTAAAGCAGGAACAAGAGGAATACAGCAAACAATTCCAAACCAATAACTACAGTCTACCTTGACTTCTAAACAACATTCGATAATATTCCTTATATGAGCTTTATCAAGAAAATGAAAGTTTTTTTTTAATTCATTCACAAGAAGAGGGTGTCACTGGGCAGGCCAGCATTTATTGACCATCCTTAATTGCTCAGAGGGCAGTTAAAGTCAACCACATTGCTGTGGGTCTGGAGTCACATGTAGGCCCAGACCAGTTTCCTTCCCTAAAGAACATTAGTGAACCAGATGGCTTTTTCCCTGACAAACAACAATGGATTCACTGTCAACATTAGACTCTTAATTCCAGGTTTTTATTGAACTTAAATTCCACCATCTGCCATGACAGGATTCAAACCTAAGTCTCCAGAACATCACTTGGGTTTCTGATTAACAGCCCAGCAATAATACCACTAGGCCATTGCCTCTCCTAGTCACAGGATAAAGAAAGATACTGTAAATTAGTAAATGGTTCGACTCAATATGATGTAGATAATTAATTGTATTTTCTTGACGTTGATAAAGTAAATAAAAACCAGTCCTGTTGCTGACATTTACAAATAACAATCGGGACTTTGTGAAATGTGATTCATGAGAAATCTTTTATTGAAACCAATGAGATCTTTGCTCCTCTCCAATTCTGCCCTGTCACACATGCCCCAAGTTTCATTGCACTTCCCACAATGTTGGTCAATGCTGGCCAGCTGTCTGCATCTTAGATATGGGAGTTCTTCCATAATTTTCTCTGCCTCACTGCATCCTTTTCCTCCTTAAGACATTCCTTCAAACTCAGCTTTCACCAAACTTGAATTCACCTTCTCCAATATCTGTTTATGCGATGTGATGTCAAATTCTGCCTGATCAAGCTCTGGTGACTCAGCACGGGATGTTTTTAGCATGACAAAGGCACTATGTAAATGCAAGTGCTCGGACCCCCCCCGGCTATTCGCAACATATATTAATGATTTGGATGAGGGAACTAAATGCAATATTTCTAAATGTGC